ATATGAGAGTTGGATGTTATAAGCTATTATATTACATGCCAGCTTTTTTGGTTGTGATTTTCTATTGATGTTAAGGTCCAAGTAAAGTAAAAATATTGTATTGGCTTTATTTGAAAGTCTCTTGAGTTTGGAATTTATTTTGATCTCAATTTTTTCATTATAGTTTGATTTTTTTATTAATAAGAAAATATTTTTAGATATAAAAAAAGATATATAAATTATATAGATTAATATTAATTTAGAGAAATATTTTGTAAAAATGTTTGATGTAACTTCTGTATCATTAGGGTTCCTAATGGTACCATTTCGATACCAAGTTGGTACTGGATTTACTATAAGTTTAATATAGTGGCTCACAATCCATATATTAACTTTATTTCAAGTCAGTACCAAGTTGGTACCTTTTCAATACTCAGTTCAGAACCCTATATATCATATATATACAAATTAATAAAGACTTGCATCTAATGTCCTTTTACAACAACAATAACAACAACAATAATAATAATAAAGATATATAAAATATAAATTCTTTTCTAATCATGTATATTTTATTAAAAATTTTTCATTTATAATAATTTTAAGCAAGAAAAAATAGTTTATTCTCTTTATTGCAAGTAAGTCTTAATTTAGAAATTCAAATTCCTTTAAAATAAATAATGCAGTAGAATGAAATTTCTGATCAAAGTCTATTTAAGTTTGGAAGTCTTGTTTGTTCTTTGATTGTATAAGAAAAGGTCCATAACAGTTCTCTATTCTTTTGTTTTCTTGTATCCATTCTTATCTTTATTTTATTATAAAAACACATCCACATTATTATTATAATATTTGCTAAAACAAATACTTTTCAAAATATATATTCAAATAGAATTGGTAAATTTATTGTCTGTTTTAAGTTAACTTATAAATATAACTTTATTATAATAATATTTATTGCCCTATCTCAAATTTCTCAATATTTTTATCTGGCTAAAAAACTGAAATTAGCTTATCCTTTACAGATAATCAACTCTTCTCAATTATCCAATCAGATTTTATTTAAAAATTAAAATAAAAACTGAACCTGTTTAAACTGGTTTTGTATTATAACAACAATTATAACAATAATTATAACAATAATTACAACAATAATGTCAATTACATGTCCATTAACAACTATAACAACAAACAACTTCACATATACTTTATTATTTATAGTAATCAAAAGCATAATATATGGGATCATGAGCCTGTTCAAAGGTTTTCTTGGAAAAATAATTGGTTTTCTATTTATAGATTTTATAGTTTATTTGACTTAGTTTTAATTACAATTATCTTTATTTTCTTTTCAATTTTTGTATATTCAAAAAATTAAAAAATTTCATAAAATTTCTTGAATTGATAGATATAGCTGCTACTCAGCTTTATTTAGTATTATAACATTGCTTTTAAAATTTTTACAATATTAGTTAAATAATGTTAAGTAAACAAGCTAGTATTTAACTTTCCAGAAATAATAAAAAAGATATTGTTTCTTTTATGATATATACTGTTATCCGTACCGGCAAGTCTGTCACCACTCTGGAACTAGGCTTGCCATTTGCTGGTACGTAGGGGTCGTGTCGCTTGCAATACCAAAGGTACTTGTTGGCATGACAATTCTCTAACTTTCCTTCTTCCCACTTGTTCCTCTGGCACAATCCTTCACCAATAGACTCAATATTGGCTACTACCGGATCCTTTAGGCGACAAGTATCTCAATAAGGTAAGTTTATTAATTATCGTTGCGCGAATACAGGTTTGGTTATACAATTATATTGCAATTGACTATCTCTATTACTACTCTAATCCTACTTCTATTTATATTAGCTGCGACGCGTCCACCAATCTAACGTCACGTCATGCAAAACCTTCACAAACTATTTTAGCTTCGTGATGCATGATCTGATGCATCGCGCCATACCATATGACCTGCACCGATCCCAACCCATCTGTATATTTTTCTGTTAACAATACTTTATTATATACAATATCAAATAAAGAAATAGTGTTTATCTATAGAAGAAATCTTCTTAAAAAAAAGATATATAAAATGTTTTTTATAAAGAAGTCATATTTGAAATAAAAAATATTCATATATAAAATAGAATATCTTTTATATAGTTTTAATTTAAGAAAAAACTAGTTAATTATAATTTTTATTCTAAAGATAAATAGAATTCTATATTTAAATTAATTAGTTTTTGTTAATTTCTTATTAGTTTTTATAATAATCCTAAGATTAGAAAATGAAATAAACTGATATTTCAAAGAATATATATATATTTTTATTATAAGATCCATATATTTTTCTTAGTAACATTAATACTTGAGAAGTATTTGTATTTGTATTTGTCAAGATTTCTTTTAAATATGAACTAATGGTTTTTTTAAGTTAGTTTTATTTCTCTAAGTCTTATTATATCTATTTTTTCTTCTATCAGTTCTTTTCTTAATTATATTTATTTTGTTAAAAAAATTTTTTTATAATAATTTTTGTCAAGAAAAAATATTTTACTTTCTTTATTACAAGTAAGACTTAGTTCAAAAACTCAAAAATCTTTAAGACAACTAGTGTAGTAAAATGAAATCCCTGGTTAAAGTCTATTTAAGTTTGGAAGTTTTGCTTGTTTTTTGGTTATATAAGAAAAGATTTATAACAGTTCTCTTTTCTTTTGTTTTCTTACATTTTTCTTTATCTTTATAATATTATAAAAACTATTTATATTAATATTATCATTTTTACTAAACTAAATATTTTTTCAAAAATATACTTAAACAAAGTTGTTAAATTTAATATTTGTTTAAAGTCAACTTTTATATACAATATTACCATAACAATATCTGTTGTGCTATTTCAAATTTTTTAAAATTTTTTATTCAAAAAACCAAAATCAATTTATCTTTTTCAAATAATTTTTGCTTTTTAATTATTCAATTAAATTTTATCAAAATATTAAAACAAAAATCAAATATGTTTAAACTAGTTTTTTAGTATAACAGTAACAATAATATCAATAATAATAAACAATGTCAACTATATTATAATTTTTTTGTTACTAAAGTATATATCAACAATTAAAAAACTTAATATACTTTATTTTTTTACAGCTAAGTAAGAGGTTTCTCTAAAAATATAATTTTTACTACTATAGATTCTATTGTTTATTTAACGTATATACAGTATTTTCTTTTATCATCCATTCTTATTTTTAAATTTACAAAAAAATTTTACAAAATTTTTTAAATAGATAGTTATAATTACTATTTAGATACAGCTAGTATATAGTATTGTTTAAAATTTTTTTCAATATTAGTTAAATGTATATATTGTTGGGGGTTATAACGGTGAGTTTGTCGCTATGTTGCGATTGCCAATCATGTAACATCGAAAGAGGCGTGGAGATATGGCACGAGGTAAGTGAAAGTATTAGATAATAGTCTGAGTTTTATAGTAAAAGGACGGTATTTTTATTGTTGCTTTTTCTTTAGTACATTTCTCTCTTTATATATATGTTAAGAAATCCCAAAAATCCCAAAAATTCCTCAAGCCCCAATTAAACCCCAATTGGGTGAGGATGACATATGTTGAATCTATCTAATTTTTTTGGTCCCTTTTACAATATGTAGGCAAGCTAGTATTTAACTTTTTGAAATACTGAAAAAGATGTTTTTTTTATGAAGTATATTATATTTAATACAAATCAAATAAAGAGATAATGTTTATCTATAGGAAAAATTTTCTCCAAAATAATTAACATATAATTATATATAGTAAATTATTTATTTAATTAATATTTCCATAATAAAAAAAATAAAATCGATTTTGTTATTATCACTTTTATTGTTTTTTTTTTGCTATTTGATTAAATTATCACTTTAGTTTTATTGACTTAATTGTTTGTTTTCGTTTTCTATAATAATTTAATTATTATACTATTTATATTTTTTAATTATAAATATGTCCTAAAATATTTGCAACAAATATTTTAATGCTTAATTACAAATGCTTGAAAATTTTTTTTTAATTAATCATAAATATAGTTAATATTTTTACTTCAACTTTTTAAATAAGTATTTTAAATATTTGAACAAAATTTAATCAAGTTGTGAAATTAATATAAACTATTTTTTTTATTCAAATATTAATTATCTATAATCATTGATTACCAAAAAAAAAAACATATTGAACAACCAATTTTTAAGAATATTATGCAATATAGAAAGATTATAATTTTTTTAAAGCATTTACTAGTATACTTGAAAGATTTAATTGAAGTGTCTTGAAAATAGAACCAATTTGATTACATTAGTTGTGACGCAATTATAAACCAAACGATAATGCAGTGATTTAAAATTATAATCATGAATTTTCCAACAATTAATTTTTAATTGATCATAATACAACATAGTACATGTGATATAATGGCTATCTGGTAACATTAACTTGGAAATGAGATACCTGTTATCAGCAACTACTTAAATACCCACCAAAATACATTGACAGCGCAGTTATTAATAAGCATTTTTTTGAATAGTGAATATTGCTATTGCTAAATTCATACACCGATTAGACAACGATACGGATTTTTAAAGTCAATCCCTCAATCAATTAAATAATATCAATATAGTCATCAACATTATCTTGTATAGTAATAAAATCAATTCAAATTATGTAAATTACAGTATATGTAATTTAAAACCTGATTTGCCGATTAAATTCTCTGATTTTACTTCCAAAAAATCCGTTTTAAAATCTGAACACACATATTACAGAAACACAATTACAACATTCTTAAATCAGGATGCAAGTTTTAGTGCAGGATAAAAAATTTACATGTAAACTGCATGTTCTCAAAGAAGCAAGAATAGAAAAAATATATATATATATATCGTTTAGAAAAACATAATCTTTAACCAAATAGAAAAGGCTAACCTCAATCTTTACTAATCATCTTAAACCAATATTTTTTATATTAAAGCTAATAACCAGGCTCTTCGCATTTTCTTCCATCCAACTTAGTTTGTTTTTCTTTGATGCAATCTTCACAATAATGTTTTTGACAATCTTTACATTTAAAAACATTTCTTCTGATTATCTTGCCGTCACATTCGCTCCCGCAGCATGGCCAATCTTTCAGGCCTTTATCGAGGATCACATAGTCGAGATCATGCTTGTGAACCGGCTCAACGATGTCAATACAATCGGGGCAGACGTTAACCTTGATTGGACAATAATGGCAGATGAGGAACGGAGCGTTGGACTTTATAGTATTGTCGCAGTTTATGCAACGTAAGTTGTTGGAAAAATAGGACCAGCCGGAAAACATTTTCTGAAATTTTATTCAAAAATGATATCTTAACCTTATCTTTCTCACCGAAGATATGTTAATCCAATTTTTTTCACTTACTTTGAAAGCAGGTCAACTAAGTTTTAACAGTTAGGGGAAAAGGGGCAATAACAAGTTTCTAGGGATTTCTGGATCTTTATGAAATTATTAATTAACTACTTTCTGCTTCTGATTCATTTCGTGGCAATCGCACGTATCTATATTTACCTCACCAAAAAGCATGTATAATTTTCAAAATAATGTCGTAACGGAATTCGTCATCAATTTGACAAGTAAAAATAATTAAATTGAATTATTTCTTGTATCATTTGCCATCGACTAAACAACAAATAAATAAATAGTATAATCCTGTGACGTATTCCGGGATTTGGAGATATTGGTAGCTGATCTCCTTTGCGTATTTATAGAGCAATAAATTTCTTGCGGAAAGACGTTACGTAAGATACGTACGTGCGTAACCTGCGTAACAAGGGGTTTTTTTATCCGATAACGGAAAGGTGTTACAAAAAATAGATTTCTATTGGTCGAAATTGCGTTACCTGATCTTTGATTGTCGAAGCATAAGCATAGGACTTTTTACAGATAGCGCATTTAGTGTCTGTCACCTATTGTTTGAAGCGTAAATGGATAGCGAACTTGCATTTGGTATCTCACTTAGATGATCTACCACTTTCAAATATCATAGTTTAATTGTTAAATAGTTTAAATAGTTTAATGACTGATACTTTATAGCATTTCAACAAATAATTTGTATTTCGTATATCTTTACTTTCTTTCGTGTAATATAAAATCGAATACACGTAATTTCTCTAAATAATAAATTGTATTTTAAGTAAAAAATTAAGAACCACCAAATTGAGAAGACGCTTTTAAAGCGAAAGTCAGATCTAATGAGTCATGAAGTCCGTCCTGCTGTGATGGGAATAATAAACGAGCAAAAAAGAGCTACCGAAACACCTGAGCAGTGCGAAATTCAATTGAATGAAAGTCGTAAACAGTATAATGCAAGAAAAGGATATTTTAGAAAGTATTACCTTAACCCAAAATACAAATACTCATGCTCCTTCCCATACCAATCAAAATGAAGCTCACGATAATATTCTTTCTGAATCGGATAGTATCCTCCTACATGACTTTCGCACTAATTTACTTCCTACGTGATATTTGTTTTGTATGTAATAATCCTTTCTTATATGTAATGAATATTTTCACTGTATGTAATGAATCCTTACCATTGTCTATCAAGTTTGTACAAGGTTAACATATACAAGTTCAATGTAATCGTTGCAAATGTGATAAAAAATAATTGAAAGTCTTCTGCCAAAAATAATATGAACTCGAGTGAAGTACCTAATAAATTGCATGATCTTGCCAAAAATGAAGAAATGTTGATTACGCAAATATTTTCGATTGTTTTAGTTTATTAACTTTCACAAAATGTGGTGGAATTTGCAACACGACTCCCTTGACATTCATCTATGCTCAATGTCTTATTATGAAATGACATTCAGCAGATGGTGTAAGTTTTAGATATTTCCGTGTCAAATTTTCTCATGCGCTTTTTCTAGTTGAAAGAACATAATTGTTACTATACTTATGTAGAGTTATTGATGATGAAGTATTGCATTCTTTACCTGAAAATGAACCAATTGATGATCTGAATAATGTAAAGGAATAAGACTTTAATGGTAATGATAATAATCTTGAAGATTCTGTAAATAGAGATCTTGTCTCTTCCTCTTCTGTCTCCTAATGAAGAGAGTACGATCACTGATACAGTACTCTTAACCGAATGTAAGTTGATAATGATCCCATTTTATTGCCAGCTATAGATGGATCCCCTATAATGAATTTAAAACTCCAGATTATATATTACTTGTGCCTTTCCGACATTATACCCGATTGGTGATTCTGATATTCAATCTGAACATATTAGAGAAATCAAACCTGCCGAATATTTTCACATTTGCTTAAATATAAAGATAGAATGTTTGTATATTATACATTGGCATTACTTTGCTTTAAATTGCAAGATGTGATGAAGAAGAAAGTCTATATAAAATAAAGTTTGAATAGCCAGCAGTGTAACATTCAAAATTTGCAAATGATGATTAAGTAAGATAGCTATATGGCTAATAGAATTGTTCGTTTTGGTGAAGTTACAGTTTGGGACAAAACTTCTTGCCCTAAATCTTTTTTATTAAAATTTTTATTATTATTTAATAAATAATTTTTTTTAAAAAAATTAAATTTAAAAATTATTAAATACAAATAATAATTTTTATTAAAAGTAATTTAAAATTTATTTATAAGTTTCTTCAAAAAATTAAATTAATTTATTATGTTATTCTTTTTAAAATCTTTTGTATCAAAAGCAAAATCAATATAAAATTATATTAAAATTGCTGTTTGCTTTACAGAATTTGAACATAAAAAAAAAATAATAATAGTAATTTTTAAATACAAGTTAAAATTTTTAAAAAACTGATAAATTAATAAATAAAAAGTTTTTAATAAAAATTATTTTATTAATATAAAACTATTTATATTTAAATTTTTATTTAGTTTAAATAAATATTTATTAAGTAATAACAAAAATAAAGAGTGCTATTATTTTTGTCCCATACTGTATATGGTACTCATCAATTTTGGATTAGAAAACATAAATTAACTGACCTGATTAGACAATTAAGATCTCAGTGGATGGTGTTTTTTATCTTTAGCATTGCTGGTTTACATTGGCCTGAGCTACATTATCTTAGATAATTATTATTTTGTTAACTTATTTATAAAACTATATAGCATAAGTACAGATGATATGGTCTTATAAACAATCTCATATTGCTACTTGTTCTTTTGAAACCATTTTAGTTGGTTTTGAAAGTTCTGATATCAAAATGGATTCTTGAAGATTATTTTATCAAATTGAATAGCAGTACTGTGAAAGTTTCATATTTATTATATTGGAAAGAGAATAATGTATCTATTATTAAACAAGTAAAAATAAAAGAGGATAAAAAAATAATGAAGATAGTAATGCAATATTTTGATTCATTAATAACTATTTTTAAATTGTTCAGATGTAATTATACTATTTATATGAATAATAAAAAGATATAATAAATTCAGATATTGTAAAAGGTCCTGAAGATTGCTTACTATTAGTAATAGATGTGAAAGTTACTTTCAAAATAAATTTATAAACTGAAGCTAGATTGATTAATGGTTTAATAGGAGTTGTTAAAGAAATTGTTTTCAAAAAAATCAAAATTTAGTTTTTCTTTCAAATATATTTTCAATAAAATTTGATAATTATTCTAATTTTACAATTATAACTTGTAAAAATATAAAATTGGTTCTAATTATACTTGTTAAACATATATGAAAAAGATAATAAGGTTTTTGTTTATATCTAAAAAATTTTATTTCTTGATTGGCCATCACAATATATAAAACAAAATTTAATAATACAATTATAAGTTTTAATAAAGGTGACTTTTATTTATACAATATCTAATATCTATAATCTATGTTTAATTTATTTTTTTTTAAAGTTTTCATATATCAAAACTTATAAAAATTGTAAGAAAAATTAATTAAAAAACTACAATTAATTTTTTTATTTTTTAAAAAATAAAATTAAAGTACAAATTTTATTTGACATTATTATAAATAATTTAATCAAACTTTTTAAATTTTATTATTAGTATAATCTAAATAAAAAAGAAAAAAATTATTTTATTGTATTTATATAAATGAATTTTTTTAAAAATTTTTATAAAAATAATTGTAAATATAAAGTTCTTTTAAATATTTAAATATTTTTTGTTATCTAATATTATAACAAAATTTTTTTATAAAATCAATTTTAATAATATATTAATTTAAAATAATAATAATTATTATTAATATTAATAACAAGTTTATTTTATTTTATTTTTTTTTTTAAAGTACACCAGCGATAATTGTCTGGTTGAGTATTTATTCAATAATGATATTTACATATATCTTTCGACATTATTATCTAGGACTATATTATAACGTATCGGTTGTTAACTATACTCAACACTTATCGGGATTGCTCCAAATAACGACGTTTGCTATAGCTTGTTCCTAAATATATTAGGTATAGAGGCTAATCTATTGAACAAAGGTATTCCTTTGTTGGACCAGTAGCATGCGTTTTCACTAATAGTCGAACAGCTTTATTTCTAACTGGGAAGGAATTAAGGGAAAGTTAAAAGGGGACACTAGGAGTAATATCTATGGCGAATAAAGCTATATGATCACTGCTTGCTCCATCGAAGATAAATCCCTTTACCACCACCTGCAGCTGGGCTAATCATTTAATTTCTTACCTATCCAATGATATTTAAAAACGTTCAAGGTACTTATAACTGATGCATACCGCCTAAACACTGACTTACACATTGCTGGAACAGGACTTATAGCTAGAAACCTTCTCGGTATAAGTACCGCCAGACCAGTTTATTACTGGATTGGGATGAGACTAGGGCAGGGATCTGCGTGAAAGACATCAGATATTAGGAGAAGGATCACCAAACCTGCTCATCGAAAACAGACATCTCATATACCTTGCAACTTCTGGCGATCATCGTAACACCAACCAGACGATCGTCGCGTCACGACATCTTTTCTGGGGATCACAATCCCAACGTCCTACTGGATCAGCATGCAAATGACTTCTTATGGGAAACAGGGCTTAACAGGTTATGGCCCCAG